TGGGCAAAAGAACTGATGGGTGCACATAATGTTTTATATACTATGTTTGCACGGGGCTGTTGTCCTTCTTACTGGTGTCACCCCTAGGTACCGAAATAGTTGACAACAAGGCCGTGCAAACCATGATGCCCTGAACAAGAAGGTCTACACCCTGAACCAGAAACTGAAACACCTCTGCGCAGCGAATGAAATGACCTATGTAGACCATCCTCATTTCATGTATTCTTGGAGAGTAAGGCAGTAAGTACTTCATTGCATTGCAATTTTAGGACAGAAACAGCTGGCTTCAGATATTATCTGTGCTCTTTTGGTGGCATGTTATTCAGAAAGGAGTTGCATTCATTCAATACAGCTTGTTCAGCTTGACCTGAGCTACTCTACATATGCATGACCCGGGAGGTCAAATGGCACAAAGGACAGGTCGATTTAACTTCATTAAATAGGGGAGCAGAGAATGTTATTAATGTTGCGTTCGTGCGAAGCATGCATACATGGATTCGTTACAGAACTTGTCCCGGAAAACAACACTTCCGAAAAAACAATATTTTCATGTTTTAATTGAATTGTTTCTACAGTCATATGCTATCTAGTTTGGTTTGCTAACTTTACAACATACAGACGTCAGTTACTTTCACAATCTGATTCACTCTCGCTAGTTGCTGTTACTCGCTGCCTAAAATCCCGAACAGGAAACAGTAAACCAACTGTACCTTGTTGTTTAAAGAAAGTTAGGACATTGCTGACGATTTCTCGACACTGAGAGGTCAAACAGCGACCTTGTCGCGTCTGTTCGGACTGTTGACAATCAAATAACAAAGGTCCACCCCCTTCACAATAATAGACCCAACCAGTTGTGACCGGTCACGCAATTCATTAGTATGCATTTGATCAGGTCAAGCTGAACAAGCTGTACGTACATTAATAATGTACCATAAGGTCTTGGCTCCGGTTTAATGCAGAACCATCATTTACCGTGTACTTTGCATTAAAATTGGTACCTGCTCTTCTTTCGAATAAATGGCAACAAGGCACTAATATTAATACTGGGTTACGTTGTTTCAGTTGTAACACGTTATCTTTACATGTGGCATTTTGTAACATCACAATGTGGTGTTTAGGTAGACATAATACTCATCTATGGATTTAATCAAAATTCAGATACATATGTGAGGTGTAGGTTGAGGTGAGGTGCTTTTGAGAGCCCGGGCCAAGCCACACCGAACGCTTGTGATATAGCAACTCTGTTGAGAATATAGAAAAGCGGGCTTCACTTTGAGCAACGTGTTTGCTTCAAATACTACGTTTTCGAACTTTATACAGTGACATGTAGGTAGATATAATGCTAATCTATGAATCTGGACACATTTCATGATACATGTGTGAGGTTTAAGTTGCTTTTGACAGCCCGGGCCAAGTGGGGCCAACAGAGACTTAACACTTTTGATTGAGGCTATGTTGAAAATGGAGAGAGAAAAGGGCTGGAAAAGTTATATATAGGTAGATATAATACCAATCTGTGAATTAAAACACAATTCAAGATACATGTGTGAGGTTTAAGCTGCTTTTGACGGCCCGAGGTATGCCGGACCGAACAATAGTGGCGGTGATTATGTTGAGAGTGTGGGGAAGAGAGATCGTTTCATTTGCAGATGGGTATGCCTTACATACAATGAATAGTGGCCTTCTAGGGTGGTATTTGATTGGATATAGGTGTAAAAAGATTTTCGGGTCGACAGAAAAGTTTATCGGGAGTGACTGAAGCATTTTTGCGTTTTAAATCCTGTTTCGTTTAACGATTCTTCTTTTAGACGTAACCTTGGTCAGCCACGTTCAGAGGCCGATAACCCCTCGATATAGTCAGACGTCGCCCACGACGTCGCCCGTTATTTTTGTAGCCAAAAATATTTTACCAAGCGACGTCGCGCAAGACGTCGCCTTTTTTATGCGACGTCGATCTTTTTTTACGCGCCACGCGATGGCAATTATAGGACACCATAACGTGCCTTTACTGTTGTAGGTCCACAGACATCCCTTATAGCTGATTCCTTGTTTAAACCAGTCTTTTATTTAAAACATGTTTGGGTTTTTATTCTGAACTTGATTTGTGGTTGTCTTGAAGACACATATCCCAAACCATTATATTAAAAAACCCATTGTGTTATAATTGTAAGAATTGGTCAACTGTTAACAAATGAGTTTTTATAAAATCTATGTACATTCTATAATACCATCATGAAAACTGTACAATCTTCCATGTAAACTATTCCTCTTATGCCGAGTATACCAGCCTGTGCGTGATAAAGTTCTGTTCTAAAAAAATATGTTCCGTTTTGGTAGTACTATATGTTTGACTGAACAGCCATACGAGTATGATTTTCGAAGGGTTTGGTTTACAATCCTACCACTTAACGCAGCTATTTGAATGTAACACAATTCATTAGGTGTGACTGACTGACTGAGTTTGGTTTTACGCCGCTTTTAGCAATATTCCAGCAACATCACGGCGGGGGACACCAGAAATGGGCTTCACACATTGTACCCATGTGGGAATTCGAACCCGGGTCTTCGGCGTGACGAGCCAACGCTTTAACCACAAGGCTACCCCACCGTCCCCCATTAGGTGTGAAGTTTGACAGGGAACTGTGGCCACGTTGGAAGATCGCCGTGTGTTTTAGTGTGTAAGTAGGCTTTGACATCATTTCATTCAGAGTGATATGGGAGGGCGTGATGTATGTCTCGCACGTTTAAAACGTAATACGGGTTGGTCTTAAACATATTCAGGTCAATTTGGGCACGGCAAAGGGACACAACTCTGCACAACGAAATCCGCCCTTCAGCGACTGGGATACTGGGATAATTAGTCAAGGAAATCAAGATGTCGTATTGACAAATATATATCTACAAAATCCACATGGAACACATGTCAAGAACTGTCATTCATTCATTTATTCTGGGGCACTAGCTAGGGTTACCCTAGTCACCGTTTTATGTTAATGTAATCAATGTTCCTCAATTAATATCATTCATTCATTCATTCATTCATTCTGGGGCATTAACTTGGGTTACCCTTGTCAGTGGAGCGGCTAAGCAGATAAAATGTGCATTTAATGATAAAAGCATGAAACTTTGCACATTTATAGACTGATGCATAGTGAAGATTTAAGAATATGGAGGCACTCAAAATAATTTAATTTGCGCATGCGCAGTTGATAAATAATATTTTGTCTTTCTGGCTCCCGTTATAGCTTTGGGGTCTTTCTGCCATCAGTACAATAATGGGACGACTTTTTAAAAAAAATACTCACCCAAAATACTGGTGAAACATATTGAAAACATAGCTGAGTCCAGTAGGAACATACTGTCCACTTCCTTCTGTATCACTCACTTGGAGATGGGAGTTCAGGCTGTGGAAGAATGACTGACCCCACACATGACCTGTCTGGTAAGCTGCCCTTTTCACATGCTGTAAATGTGTTGATGGGATGGCATGAATTGAATTTTTCTTCGCAAATAATCACAAATAAAAGTGATTGAACATAAAAAGAAAAATATTCCCAAAGCATCCTTCCATGATGATAGGGAAGGAGCAGTTGCCATAAGTGCTCTTACTTCGTGTGGGTTTGAAGCTGAGGGATGTTCTAAGCCTACATCTCCGTGTGCTCGAAGTATCACCGATCTCATCCAGAAGGATAATATCTAGTTGTTTTGAATACTTCTGCTGTGATATCTCTCATGAGCGGGATGAAGAGTTGTCTTAACTTCTGACGTCTGGTGCTCGTTCTACGTAGATAGATGCGTTGGGCTCTGACCAGACGCAGTGATAAGTCTTCCTTATCTTCATTGCCAGGTATTGAAGAAAATAGTGGGTTGTGAAACTGTCCGTCTGTCTGATTTTTGGCAATAAAGTCCAAACGGAGGCCAAGATGCACGGATGTATTGGGACCTTTATCAAATCTGGTGAGGCTGAGGTTTATAGAATGGAATTTTGACATTCTGAGTGAGTTTGGAATCTGTGTCGAGGTGTGCTCCCCAATCCTGTAGAGACGTGTTTACTCACAGATGCAAGTTGAAGCTTAGCTCGCCCAGCAGGTCCTTGCGCAGACCTTTGATTTCATCGTCCACCATTGGAGATACTCTGGTAGGTGATGTGGTAGTTGTGGTCTGAAGTCCTGCTGGACCAGCAGTCAGGCTAGAAACATCTGAAGGAAGGGTGAAGGAAGCTCACGATAGGCTTGGTTACCCATGTGTATAAGCACGGGCCATGAAATTGACAAACTGTAGAACCCTCCACTGGATTTTTTATGGTTGAACAGGAATCGTAGATACTTCCTGGACCCTAAGTGGATTGGCATATGCAGATATGCATCCCTTAAATCCATGCTTGCCAGAAGTTGTTCTGTCTTATCATCTGCTTCAGATATAGAAGGTAGAGAATTCCGAACTTATGTGTCTTCAATAAGTAATCATTGTTGAACGTCTTCATATTAGTCTGAACTTTTCTGATAAATTGTTCTTGGGAACCAAGAAAATTGGGGAGCAGAACCCTGGGTCGAGTGCGTCTTGAGGTTTATTGCTTCTTTGGATAGAAGTGACTCTATCGCATCTGTGAGCTTGGGTTGTAGGGTTTCTGCGTAATGTATCTGCAGAAGATAGATTGGAGCGGTGGCGTCGTGTTCACTGGATGGAATATCTATTCCTTAAGATTTTTTAGATGAATGGGTCTTCCAGAAGGTCCCACTTTGGCCAATACTTCTTTGTCTACGTAGCAAAGTAAGTCCTGCCGATGCTGAGCAGATCTGGTCGGAGATGGACTCCTGGTACTTCCCCTGGTTGACCTAGACAAAAGCATACGTTCTTTGTCGGACTGTGGATCTTTGAAGTGTGATCTCATCGCCTTGTTGATGGATCTGGACATGGTGAGGCCCAGGAGGACTCATCTGATAATAGTATCAAGCTGAGCAAGCCGGGAAGACCCTGCATTCTGGTAGTTTGGGTTCTTGATGACTTGCAAAATTGCTCCAGTTGATAGTAAGGTGAAGCAGGAGGATCCTTCGATGGGGAAGCTATGGGTAACCCGTCTGCATTCCAAGTTAGCTGGTATTTATCATCGTAGATTGATGTTGGCCCTTCATGATACGATTCTAACCCTGTTGGCACTAATATGTGAGTGTGAAGAGTGACAGGCTTGGTCAAGTGCATCCGCTGCATATATGCAGCTTGGAATGTGTTGGGGTGAGATGTGTTTTTTTCTATTAAAGGAGAACACAAGCACTGTGAGATGAGATCAGATAAGCAATCAGTATGAGTCAGGATAAGTGTTTGCACTTAATCAATTGATATTTACCATTGAACAATAAAACCAATTAAGTATGATTTGTACTGAAAAATATGACTGCTCCCTTGTGAAAGACAATCTGAAGTATCTCCCTTGTTTGCCCTTGAGCCATGAAGTTGGGGAATAATCACATAGATTTTGATTGTTAAACATATCCAAGACTTTTTTTATTGTGCTGCTTTTCTTTTGTCACGTATTATGCTCATTTTCAGTCATTTGTAATCAGATAAATCTCAAGCATGCACACATTTTATCAAAGCGTTCAATAGTCCAAAAGCTGTCTGCAAGCCGCCATTTTGGGAAGAGGGAGTGTAAATTGTTTCAAAATGGTTTGTATTATTCTAAAATTATGTATTTTTTGTCTTTTCATGAACCTGTAAATCACTTTTTATGAAAATTATAGGTGTGTAATGAATGGCAATACTAAAGATCGAAGGTGAAACGCTGAAAATAGTATGTCATAGTTTATGTACTGCGCATGCGCACAAAATACAAAATTTGAGGTATTCCAGATATGTTCTTTTATCATCAAATGCACAATTCTTATGAAAAATTGATCTTAGCCGCTCCACTATGTCACCTTTTTATATTATAATGATTAATCAATGCTCCTCAAAAAGCTCATTTGTATTAGACTTAGAATGAGCGAAAATAACATCACTGAAAAAAATCAATGCGCCATGATGTTGTATAGCGAATTACAAATAGATCAATACAGTCTGTTTGTAAAGGCTAGACTCTCTGATAGATTGAAGTCCCATCTGTTGACTCTCATTTTAGATAATCGTTACGTTATCAACCCGTAACAGCACTGTACAGTACAGTACAGTAATTATACTGCTGCGATAGCTCTTCAGATCTTAACTGATTACTAACATTTGACCTTCGCTCGTGCATGCTTAGAGTGAGTGACAATGTAGGTGGTTACCCCGTTTGCTCGTCACACCAAAGACCCGGATTCGATTCCCAACGTCCATACAATCAAGCCAAGTTCTGTTTTCACCCGTGGTGATATTGCTAAAGCGGTATCTGGGAGGACTCATTCACTCGCTCTCAGAATTGGTTCTTTCCAATCTTGGGCGGTCTTGGGCCTGGCCTGTACATTGTAGCGAGTTATGAATTTGCTGATGAAAGCCTGGTTGCAGTTCTGCTGATGTTTTGATGCCCCCTAATTTCCATACCGATCGCCCTGTCTCGTTGCGCTTGCGTTAGTCTTGGCATATTCGTGTTGGTGTTTTGGTTACTGCATGCTTGCTCTGTCCAACATCGGTATTTAAGCCACAACCATGCGCGTGCATTTGGACCAATGTCCCACAATTACGATTTTCACTTTTTGAAAAATTGCACGATTCGTACGAAGTTTTCTGACAGCTGGGTTGTTATCGGGACCATGTTACGTTTTGGCCAATGTTTTCTGCTTGGGTTCAACATTGTATAGGCGTTTTTGTTTTTTCTACAATTACTTTAAGAGTGATAACTTTCTTTTGCCCGGTAGTTTATACTAAGAAATTAATGTTGATACAGGGAAGCTATTATATACCTCATTATCATTGACGGCGTATACACGGAATCTCTCAGTCTTCATCTCCAAACAGTTATGCTTATATAGATCAACAGGGGATGAATGGGTATGATTGTACGCCGCCTTTAGCAATATTTTAGCAAAATCACGGTTATGGACACCAGAAGATGGGCTCACACATTATACCCATGTGGATAACTGAACTTCGGCGAACGCTTTGCAGGCTGGAATACGTGAAAACATATTAGTATGAATACTGCTTCCAAACCGCGATAAAATATTCTACACTACGTAAAGATATTGTAATCAACATCTGGAGAACATTTGTAACACGATAAACTGATCAAAATAAGTTAGGGATCAGTAATAGATCAGGAATCTTAGAAATCAAAGACAAATATATAATCAGTTTTGTTCAGTTTTTACCAAGCCTACTCCTGTTACATCCGTGATATTTGGGGTTACACTTCCTCAATAAAGTACAGATTCTACAATCGGGATTCGAACCCTCAGGATTAGGGAATCGTATGGTGGAAGCCGCAGTGGGTTAGACGGCTGATTTTGTGTGGTGGTGATTAAGTGCCTTACTTTGAGAGTGTGGGTTCGAATCCAGGATGAGACTCAACCAAACAAAAGAACCAGAATCTGTACTTTACTAAGGAGGTGTAATCCCAAATATAACATGTTACATTTGACCATTTTCAAAATGACATTATGTATTCAGTACTCCCGTTACACCTGCAATATGAACTCGCATGTCTAGTATGGAGAATATGGCCTCAGATGAATAGTGTGAGTGAGTGAGTATGGTTTTACGCCGCTTTTAGCAATATTCCAGCAATATCACGGCAGGGGACACCAGAAATGGGCTTCACACGTTTTACCAATGTGGGGAATGGAACCCGGGTCTTCGGCGTTACGAGCAAACGCTTTAACCACTAGGCTACCCCACCGCCCCAGATGAATAGTGTGTGCCACTGACATTGCTTGAACTGTGAACAGCAGTATGTCGTAATCGTGTCATGATCGGTACATATGCAGCACTGACACATTGGAGAGAGGAAAGAGACAGACAGACAGACATACAACAGACAGAGGATAGGGAATGGTATAGTAGTGCTATTTGAGTAATCATGTCACGGTTGGTACATATGCAACACTGAGATAATACTTTTGTGTTCGCAGCAAGGTACTGGTTGCACTACACGACGGGTGGTCTGAAGAATATAAAACTATTGAAATTAATATGTACTTTGATGATACGTTATTCCAGGCGAAATACTTACTATAGCAAGCTGAAGGGTATTATAATCCAACCGCAGATATAACTGTAGTGGGTCCACTGTAGTGATAGTCGGTGTGTGATTACACGCTGACCGGTCTGATTCATCGATGTCCCTGACACGCCTCGTAGATTATACCACGTGATACGTAAGATAACGGTCAAGTACGTATGTCACGTGGTACGCCCATACGCGGTGAGTGACGACTCCATGGAGACTTAAGGTAGGAAGCTGTGTGTGCTGCGTGCAGGTGTGTGCATGTGTGAGAAGTTGGACGGCGTGGGGTGTTTTCTGTGTGTATGTTTATATGTGTGTGCATCTGGGAGAGGGGGGTGGGGAAGAGGGGGATTGAAAGGAGAAAGGAGAGAGAATGATCAGAAGAGGGCAGAGGGAAGAGGAGAGAAGGAACAGATGAAGAGAAAGTAGAGAGTGAGAGAGACATGATAGAGTGGAAGAGGGACAAGAGAGAAAGACAGAGAGAGAGACACATAGATACCAAGATAGGGTGGAAGAGGGAGAAAGACACAGAGAGAGAGAGGGCGAGAAAGAAAGAAAGCGACACAAAGATGCAAAGATAGTGTGGGAAGTGTTATTTCTGTATCCAAAATGCCATTGTTCCTAACGAGCACCTGCTCCCTTGTTAGATGTCATACTGCTCACTGTTACACATATTATTAGCTGCACCTAGGTATTTCAGGCCAACTGACTAAGCCGTCCCACCGTTAAGATTGCCCATAAAAGTGGACTTTGACCTCCCCGAGTGTATTGATAATTTCTTTAGGAATGTTTTCTGAGAAAAATAGGTCGCTTTTGATATCCCCGTTTGTTCAATATCAAATGACAGTCTACATTTAACCTGAAACACATGATGAAAAAAATACTACTTATTTGGACAAATTGAATAGTCAATCTGCGATCAAAAGTGAAATAGGTCATGTTTGTATTACTAGGTATTACACTTTCTTAGTGAAGCAAAAACCTTTTGAAGTCACAACTGGGATTAGAAACCAGACTCAGAGAGTAAAGCACCTAATGGATACATTGTATATAAAGACTGAAGTTAGCAAAGGCTTTCACATCGATCTAATATTGATTGTAACAACAATATATCCCAGACACCCGGTGCCTTTACTGACATGCAGTAATCCTTCCATATGTTCACCGCTATTGCTTTTTAGGCCCTATGGAATCTGTTATGGTAACTGATTTTTCTCATAGACGTTTTCTACATACGACATGTTTAGGTGATAACTTCAACCTAGTCTATTAATAATGGGCATCTGTTGTTGTGTGTCTGTGTGCGCTTGGAGCATAGTATATTACCCTTCCTGGGATGACGACGGAGTTACGACGCTTTACAAACTGATTTAACAGTAGTAGTAGTTGTAGTTGTAGTAGTAGTAGTAGTAGTAGTAGTAGTTGTAGTAGTAGTAGTTGTAGTAGTAGTAGTAGTAGTAGTTGTAGTAGTAGTGGTAGTGGTGGTAACAGTAGCAGCAGCAGTAGTAGTAGTTGTTGTAGTAGTAGTTGTAGTAGCAGCAGAAGTAGTAGCAGTAGTAGAGGTTGTAGTAGTAGTAATAGTACTTATAGCGGTAGTAGTACTCAGTAGTAGTAAGAGCTCAGGTCACAAATCAGTTTAAGTTAAGCAACGTTCAGCGCGGAGAGTCCTTGGATGGGTGACCGTGTTTGGCAGCTTGACTCCTGAGTTTCTAGGACTTCAGTCCAGGCCCACAACGACTCACATGTGATACAAATTGCCCCTGTTCTCCCAGCAGAAAATGGGTACCCGGTGGGATAAGTCACGTGACTAGTAATAGTCTAGCGCCACACAGGCAGCTTGAGTTATCAGGGGTAATAATAATAGCCTGTAGCACTTTGAGTGTAGTGCGGAATTCAGCGCATTATAAATTCCCTTATCATTAGTAGTAGTTGTAGTCTTAGTAGCATCAGCAGCAGCAGCAGCAGCAGCAGCAGCAGTAGTAGTAGTAGTAGTAGTAGTAGTAGTAGTAATAGTAGTAGTAGTAGCAGTAGCAGTACACACATTTATTATCAGTGTGATGTTATTGTGATACAGATGAGCACCGAGGCAGAACACCCCGACTACACGTGGTGGGAGGTGTGCGGGAAGGTGTGTACAGACCCCTGCACACTGAAGTGTGACCACACCTTCTGTAGGACATGTCTCACCCAGTACTTACAGTCAAGACAGGATGTCATACAGTCCAAGACATTCTCCTGTCCCCACTGTCGTCAGGCTTCTATAGTTCCCGACCCCGCCCGACCAACGGAGGAATGGGTGGAGCAGTTTGCAACCAGTCACATGAAGCCACCTGCTGACTGTCTTCCTGTAGTGTCTGACAGCAAGGATGTGCCAGCAGGTACGTATCAGCAGATTCATTCATCAGCCAGTTCTAGTTATCTTGAGTTGGTTTCTTATGGAATCCTAGGGAAATCGACATTTTGCCATTTTTTGCTTGTTTTGTGAGGGTTTACATAGTTTCTTGCTGCGTTCACCAATATTTTAGAAATGACGGAGCACAATAAAGGTCAAACCACAATGAGTTTCACCCATTCTCTCAATTTGAATGTACAGAATCGAACCTTGACTTCCGGCATCAGTGAATGCCCATCTCACTTCTCACGTGTTGCCCACCATTTTTGATTATCCAATGTTTGTTTGTTTCTGTGTTGTTTTACGCCGCACTCGGCAATATTCCAGCTACATGGCGGCGGTCTGTAAATACTCGAGTCTGGAGCAGGCAATCCAGTGATCAACAGCAGGCAGTACAATGATTGACATCATGAGCTTCAAACTACGCAGTTGGGACACGATGACATGCGTCAACCAAGTTACCGAGCCTGACCACCAGATCCCGTTAGTCGCCTCTTACTATAAGCATGGGTTGATGAAGACCAATTCCAACCCGCATCTGATTATCCAGTGCATTATATGGGCATTATTATGAGCTTAATATTTGGACGATTCGTTAGCATAGCTTTGTTTCAAGGTCGATTCAAATGACAGGACGCTAAAAGAATTTACTGTCATGACCAAACTAAAGATAAGTGTGTTTAAGGCGATGACGTCACTTATGAATGGGCGGGTATATCTTGGAACAGAGATATTATTCAAATAATAATCGACAAAACAAGCGATCCTGAATTGACTAAGTTAAATTCCATATTCCTATATTTTCACTACTTTTTCAAGCACTCTGTAATACTAATTACAAACAATCAAAATTTGATGCTTACCCCTAAATAACATATTATCTTTATGTCCCTGGTCATTTTCAGTCTATGTTTCAGAAACGAGCTGCTACACCTGCAGTGAGAATGGAAACTGCACTCAAGGTAGTGTTTGGTGCGGTATGTGTGAGATCTACCTGTGCATAACATGTCACAGAATCCACAGGAGTTTGCCCATGTCACGTGATCACACAGTTACTGATGTTGTTGAAGGAACCACGATCAATGTCAGGAGCACGAGGAACAAGTGCGGGGAACATTCAAACAGAGCCATGGAATTTCACTGCAAGGATTGCACAAAGACAGTATGTCCGGTCTGCTGTATTCTGTACCACAGGAAGTGTGAATCTGTTGTCACTCTTCAGTCTATGATTCCGGAAATGAGAAACACCTTGCAGGAAAACTCGCAGATTCTATCTGCTAAAATCACAGATATCCATTCGAAAGTAAGCGCCAACAGGGATATCTACACCCAGATGCAACAGGGCATAACTGGCTTGCAGGCTGAAATCACTTCCTACTGTCAGTTAACGAGGGAACTGATCAGAGAGAAAGAGGATGTTATGATGCAGGGCCTCGACAAACGGACGAAGGAACAGAGGGAGACGCTACAAGATCTCATCAAGACAGGGGAGAGCGAAGAAAGGATGCATAAACAACAGGTGGAGTTCATCCAGAGAACCCTGGAGTCTGAGGGCACCATGGACTTATATGAGGTGTACCAGACCTGTCTATCCGGGGAGATCCTTGCTACATCGGTAGAAGATTATGCCATAACTGAAGCTGAACCGGGCTTGGCGGTCAATGTTAAAGCAGAGTTGGAAAATATTAGAATTGTTCTGAATGAGTCACTGTTTCTTTGCTCAGGGCCTGACAATACAGGAAGCGTAACGTCGACTATAACCAAAGACATGGAAGGTAAAGATGGCCGAGGTTGTACTGATGCTGTAGACGAATCGGATGATATAGATGGAAAACTGCAGACTGAACAGGAACTTGAGTCTGACAGACAGGGACTACAGTTGGACATAGATGAACAGATCGAAACAGATTCCAAACCTAACTTCCGAAAAGGACCTGCTGCAGATTTACATGAAGGTCCGAGGACGAACAATGACGAAGGTGATACAGATATGGAGAAATACGCGAGATGTGAATTGGTCTGGTCTATGAGCGCGGACGAGCCGAATAGCCCACACATGGCCATAATGTATACACGTTCCAAGAGCCCAAAGCTACAGGAATCGAGAAAAAGGCACAACTCGGCTCCACAGCTGAACAACGGCTCCCATACTACTGTGAAAGCTCGTCCAGATGGCGAGGAGTCTTTGGAAGTTGGATCGCACCCTGGAGGCATGTTTGACATACAGGAAGAAGGTGATGTGGTGACACCTGGGACAATATTTACAGAAACATTATCACTAAAATCAGAGACAGTGTATCAGTCAGCTCCAGATTTAACAACGAAACTTCACACTGGAACTGACTATTCCCTGTACCCTGAAACAGAGCGTAGCTGCTCATCGGGCCATCGAAATCAGTTGACATGGAATGGCGATCCCTCTCCGACAAACTTTGAACAAGTATCGCAACTCGAACTGAAGAGGGATTTCACCCCTGTGACAGTTTCAGAACAAACTGAAAACCAAGGGCTAGAGGGGCAAGAATCTGATAGTTTTAAATCAAAGATTTTGCTTCCACATGATAATGACTCCGTTTTGGAGGAATCCTTTACACAGTCGGTGCTAATGTTGAAAGTGGACAAAGAGAAAGGAGAGGGTCATGAAGAATCAGATGAAGATTTGCCAGAGGATACAAAAACTGATACCCAAGAAACGGTGAGGTTAGATGTTGAAGATGTGTCTGGAAATTTACAAGAATGTCAACGATCTGAAACAGAGAGGGCCTATAATTTTGATTCGGATTCTTTGCCTGTGTATCATGATACCATACATACTGTGAATAGCTTGGACATTGTTGTACTTTCTTTGGAGCACGGTTTTGTATATGCAGTTACCAATGCAATGGAAAGCGCAGTAAAATGTATATATCGCACAAGCAAGAAAAAATGCGAAAATACTTTGAGGATCTCAAAGCTCCCTTGGGCCGTGGCAAAGATGTCTAACGATATGGTGGCGGTCACCGTTCCAAGAGCGAGGCAGATCGTTTTAGCCAACGTTGACCCTGAGTTACAACTTCATTCAGTCATAAGAACACACAAAAGTTACTATGGTCTGGCAGTGTTGGAGGAATCCATGTTTGTTGCGGGCAACACTTCCGATTCGTGTATAGATATACTCGCTTTGTCTGGTAAGGTAATCAGAACAATATATAACAGTTCTGTAAAATGTCCGAACTTTATCTGTCCAACTCCAAAACAAGGTTTCATAGTATCGGATCGTCAAACAAAAACTGTGATATGCTTCACGGCCACCGGAGAAGTGAACTTCACATATTCCTCCAAGGAAAAGGCATTCAAGGAGAACAGAGGCATAGCGACCAGTGACTCGGGGCACGTCTTGGTGGCAGACGCTGAGGCTGACAAGATAGTGCTATTAACGGAGAAGGGGGAATATGTCAGAGATGTATTAACATTTAAGGATGACATACGTAAACCAGTCGGTCTGTACCTTCATGGTGCATTTCTGTATGTCACCCAGTGGCAGAACAGGATCAAAGTGTTCAAGTTTACCTGAAAACAGTGGCAGATACATGTCCATGGTTTACGTCTTTGAAGTTGCACAGTTTGTTCAAGTGTACCTGAACGTGAAGGCACTTTATTGTACCAAGACTAAATAGTAGGATCCACGATAGATGGTTCAAATGCTGGAGTTTACCAAGACTTTGAAGAGTAAGAGAAGGGTGCGCATTGTCACGTTTACCAAAACAGGTAATATGCGAGTGTTGAGACCATGAATGGTTCAGTGTTGTGTCTTTTTTGTTGAAAAGATCCAGTTAACTGTACCCATTAACATCACATTTTATTACAAAAAAGTAAAGAAATGGAGGTGACATAAAGAGTTAAGAAACACCAAATAATATGTTTGATGACGTCTGAAGGTACCAGTGGAATGATTCATGCTAAAACAGATAGCGTCAAAATACAGATGTTCTCAACACACGATAATTTTACTTGGTTTTGTTTCTTCGTTGTTTTAACGCCACAATCAGCAATATTCCAGCTGTATGGCGGCGGTCTGGACAATCCAGTGATCAACATCATGAGCATCTGTCTACGCAGTTGGGATGCGATGACATGTGTCAACCAGGTCAGCGAGTCTGACCACCGATCCCGTTAGTCGCCTCTTACGAGAAGCATAGGTTGCTGAAGACCAATTCTAACCCGGATCTTCAATGGTACACGATAATTCGAATTACTGCTGAAACTCTTCTGATCCTTATTTCCGTGAAAATGATGGAAAAAAAATATGACAGTATTATAACAAGCGATTTGATTACACACAACACCACGTTGTTATTCCATTCACCTTCAATTACAACAATGTCAGTGGCACCATTGTTATATGCCAAAACACGACAAACCAATCAGAACGCGCGTCATGAATGCGGTGCTTTGAAATAAATAATCCCGTGTACTTAAATCGTTTATGGCAGTATGTGATTGTATAAAAAATCATGAAAAATATATATCGTACAGTACAAAGAACGTGGCTAAGAGATTTATGTTGCCCTAATGTGAAGTTTTTAAGAAGAATAATGCCGTGAACGGAAAAGATTCAAACACACGCACGTGCGTTTGTTTACATAACGGCTCTCATGGGTCCAACTAAGTGGGTGTTTTTTGACGATCTTGCGGGCTGGTTTTGGAGATTTTACGTCCGCTTTCCGACATTTTTAGGAATCTGGTTTGGGATTTAATGCAGCTGAAAATATTGTTTTCATTATTTGCATGTTCCATAAAACAAATCCCTTGTATAATTCTTAAACCCTATTCAGAAATATACATTTTGAAACATTAGGTGAACTGTTGGTAATAATTACATAAGAATATGTGTTCCACAAATACGTTTTCTCTTTCTTTTAGTTGTATCATACGAAGCTCCTAAAGGGACATTTGCGTAACCAAAAATAGAAAAATAACCTCGTAATAACGACTTTAAAACTCGTTATAACGACTTTTAGATCTCGTTATAACAACTTCCCAAACACTCGTAATAACGACTTTTAAATCTGGTTATAACGACTTTTGGTGGCCTTCATCTACTTCTGAATTGGGTCTTCTGCATGGACTGCTTGAACATAGAGTTCATGGTTGGGACCAACTTGATGAGCATCTGTTCTTTAGAGTCCTGCGTAACATCCTTGCTTCCCTTGTTTGATCTGTAGCATGGCTGAAATGTGCTGCCCTGACATAATGTGAACCTAGTACATAAACACAAATTCCACCTTTCTTCACTTTCTGAACTAATTTCCGTTTTATGTATTTGCTTTTCTTCTCTGTGTATCTCATCATGATTAATAAATGACCGGTATAGTTATGTGTACTGACTTTAGCAAATCCTGAGTATATTTAGGTGTTGAGGTTAGTGCTCTGTATAAGAGGCCATATTATTTCATTATCACAATGGCCAAGTTATAGCAAGCAGTCACTGCGCATGTTTTACCTGGTACTTCACCTTGTTTAAATGTTATCCGCTGGAAGTCATATGGCTGCTATGGCAACTAGGGTCACTCACTCACTCGCCCACCCACACTTTCACACACTCGCTGTCATCCACTCACTCATGGACAGTGGGGTAGCCACTGGTTTAAGCATCCTCTCATCACGCTGAAGACCCGGGTTCGATTCCCCAAATGGGGAGCCCATCTCTGGTGTCTCCCGCGTGATATTGCTGGGATATTGCTAAAAGCAGCGTAAAACCATACTCACTCACTCACTCACTATCACTCACTCACTATCTATCCCTCACTCACTCACACACTCAATGTGTTCCACTCAGCTCAGCCACTCATTCACTATCGTACACTCACTCATTCACTATCGTACACTCACTCATTCATTATCGTATACTCACACGGCTCCGCTCTACCCTGCTCAGTCACTCACTCACTCAGCTCATTCACATCCATATACAACAGGAACATTTCCTTGTCCTATTGATGAATTAGAACTGGACCAGATCTACAAGTTGCTGCTGGTGGTATTAATAATCCACATCACCGCATATTTTCACTACACTTGTTTTAAGACTCTTGTTTCCGTCCAAGAAGTCAGTATTCTTTTCAGATTTGGCTTGATGATATGTTCACAAACAAGGTCAGCTGTCGACATTATCCGGTAGAACGGCACTTCCCTAAGCATTCTTATCTGATTCTTATCTCATTCTTATCTCAGTCCGTCAGAACAAACCAGAACTTAATAATTCATCAAATTGCATGTAACGAGAATTTGTTGAATAAATCAGATTTATGGGAGGGTTTCCTTTTGAAACATGTTTCCGACATGAGATATGGAATACTTCCTAATGTAGATAAGACTTAGGCCAGCTGTCAAAGTGTTTTTGAACCTTGTATTTGTTGTTTGGGCAAATCTCTTTTGAAGACGTATATCCCTGTTCAGGCTGATTAAGAACGTATTACTGACTGACTGACTGAGTATGGTGTTACGTCGTTTTTAGCAATATTCATGCAATATCACGGCAGAGGACACCAGAAATGGGCTTCACAAATTGGACCCATGTGGGGAATCGAACCCTGGCCTTCTGGCGTGACGAGCGAACGCATTAACCACTAGGCAACCCCACCGCCTCTAAGACTGTATTAACTTATTCTAGGTTATTTGTGTCCATATATTTGGGTATTAAAGAAAATATGGATATAATAAACTTTGAAATTTACCATAAAAGTTGTCTAAAAGACACTTATTTTAACCTGATGTTTATGTTAAATTCACTCTTGATATACTTGTCCTGATGGATTTCAGTAGGTCTGTCATAAATGTTTGACTTATCATAGTCTCACAGGTCCCATCAGGTGAGAGAATCATAGTCTCACAGGTCCCATCAGGTGAGAGAATGATGGTCTCACAGTTCCCATCAGGTGAGAGAATGATGGTCTCACAGTTCCCATCAGGTGAGAGAATGATGGTCTCACAGGTCCCATCAGGTGAGAGAATCATGGTCTCACAGTTCCCATCAGGTGAGAGAATGATGGTCTCACAGTTCCCATCAGGTGATAGAATCATGGTCTCACAGGTCCCATCAGGTGAGAGAATCATGGTCTCACAGTTCCCATCAGGTGAGAGAATCATAGTCTCACAGGTCCCATCAGGTGAGAGAATGATGGTCTCACAGGTCCCATCAGGTGAGAGAATGATGATCTCACAGTTCCCATCAAGTGAGAGAATGATGGTTTCACAGTTCCCATCAGGTGAGAGAATCATGGTCTCACAGTTCCCATCAGGTGAGAAAATGATGGTCTCACAGTTCCCATCAGGTGAGAGAATCATGGTCTCACAGGTCCCATCAGGTGAGAGAATCATAGTCTCACAGGTCCCATCAGGTGAGAGAATGATGGTCTCACAGTTCCCATCAGGTGAGAGAATGATGGTCTCACAGTTCCCATCAGGTGAGAGAATGATGGTCTCACAGGTCCCATCAGGTGAGAGAATCATGGTCTCACAGTTCCCATCAGGTGAGAGAATGATGGTCTCACAGTTCCCATCAGGTGATAGAATCATGGTCTCACAGGTCCCATCAGGGTGAGAGAATCATGGTCTCACAGTTCCCATCAGGTGAGAGAATCATAGTCTCACAGGTCCCATCAGGTGAGAGAATGATGGTCTCACAGGTCCCATCAGGTGAGAGAATGATGATCTCACAGTTCCCATCAAGTGAGAGAATGATGGTTTCACAGTTCCCATCAGGTGAGAGAATCATGGTCTCACAGTTCCCATCAGGTGAGAAAATGATGGTCTCACAGTTCCCATCAGGTGAGAGAATGATGGTCTCACAGGTCCCATCAGGTGAGAGAATCATGGTCTCACAGGTCCCATCAGGTGAGAGAATCATGGTCTCACAGTTCCCATCAAGTGAGAGAATCATGTTCTCACAGGTCCCATCAGGGTGAGAGATTGATGATGATCTCACAGTTCCCATCAGGTGAAAGAATGATGGTCTCACAGTTCCCATCAGGTGAGACAATGATGGTCTCACAGTTCCCATCAGGTGAGACAATGATGGTCTCACAGTTCCCATCAGGTGAGAGAATGATGGTCTCACAGTTCCCATCAGGTGAGAGAATCATGGTCTCACAGTTCCCATCAGGTGAGAGAATGATGGTCTCACAGTTCCCATCAGGTGAGAGAATCATGGTCTCACAGTTCCCATCAGGTGAGAGAATGATGGTCTCACAGTTCCCATCAGGTGAGAGAATCATGGTCTCACAGGTCCCATGATTTGAGAGAATCACGGTCTCACAGGTCCCATCAGGTGAGACAATGATGGTCTCACAGTTCCCATCAGGTGAGAGAATGATGGTCTCACAGTTCCCATCAGGTGAGAGAATCATGGTCTCACAGTTCCAGTCAGGTTAGAGAATCATGGTCTCACAGTCACATTTATGCGACGTCAGGGTCTCCTCTCTTCCTGCCAGTGGTTGAATTTATACACCAGCCTCTGCTGCGCAAACCTTGGGATGCGACTACCATGCAGGTATCAGGAAGGCAAGCAGGGATGCTACGCAGGATAAGACCAGATGCTCATCAAGGCGTTCCAAACCATGAACTCTATGTTCAAGCGGTCCATGCAGAACACCCAATTCAGAAGTAGATGAAGGCCACCAAAAGTCGTTATAACGAGATTTAAAAGCCGTTATAACGAGTTGTTTTAAAATCGTTATAACGAGATTTAAAGTCGTTATTACGAGATTATAAGTC